TGTACAATGCATACAATACATAAACGAATGAATCAATATTCCTTCCTTTCCGTTTATTTCATAAGAAGAAAGGAGTTTGGTTAGTTAAATCTGTTCTACATTATGTGTTATACATTTCCGGGAAAAAATGTTATATAAATGGACATATTTTATATATAATCATATATAATTGTATATAAAATATGTCAATTTCTTATATAATTACAGGTATACTATATAATTTTATATAATTATACTATATAAAACATTTTTTCCCGGATTATGCAAAGGTCCGTATTTGCCGCTTAAACAAGTTGATTTAATTGGGCTTCTCAATAAGCATAGATATACTTTTTAGAATGCATTGCCAAAAAGTGCATTAAATGCAGATATAATGCATGACAAAAATGTGCTTCGAAAGTGCATTTACAATCAGCTTTTAATGCGGATTTCAATGTACATTTAAAGCGCATTATACGCGTATTGGCGCTTCTTAGATACTTGAAAACAATTTACTGAACAACGAAAATATGTGTGTACAGAAATTTGTAATAGCAATAATAATAAATGATTATTATATGCAATATTTTCAGCACTACATAAATGCTATTCTTCAAAACCAAATAAATACTTGAGTTGTACACTACGTAAAGCAAAAATTAGCGCTCTGAAAGAAGCGAGACTGTTGTCAAAAATTTCTATTACTGACAAAAATGAAATTCTTGATAATTCAGAGAGCCGAATGAAACTATAGTATATATATCAAGACATGGAACATGGACTGTACTATTCGTATTTAAATAGAAGGTATATTATATGTCGGATCAATAAAAATAAGAGAGAAAGCGTGAACACGACCAAGATCTCCCTCCTTTCTTAAGATATTGTGATGGGTTAAATACAAAAGAACAGAGATTTACCATCTCCATGTCCTATCTCTTTCATTTTTGTCGAACAACTTTACACGGCATAGTCCATGCTTTATATTTTTGGTGTATATAAACCTTTTTGTTTAAAACATTCCCTAATATAGATTTTAAAAACACATTCATCGTTTTCCTCGCAAAACATCCTTAAATATAAAATATAATAGTTTAATAAAAAAAAGTGTAACAAAATATATTCATGACACATTAAAGCACATTCATAGATCTGTATACAAATTGCATCTAATTTAATACTCTTTTATTCTTTTTATCAAAATAAAATTAATAAACCCAAGTACTCCGCGAATATGTAAAATTATTACAAATTATAATAAAAATATGATAAAAATGTGATAAAGCATAACTTACTTCCACTATAGTTGATAAGAACCATCGAATTCTCGAGAATACATTTTTCTCGTTTAATACCCAGAGTCCAATTATGCCGAGGAGATTTTTATAAAATTTCAAAATGTTTGTGGTGTCAGTATTCCAATCCGTATTTGATCTCATTCTCGAACACTTTAAAACGTCACGCTTGAGTAAGTTCTTTATTCCTTCGACTATTACATACTGAATATTCAAAATATCTCTTCGATTGGTTATTCCCCGAAAGCGGATGTATTTCTTCATCTATATTCCTCGGTAATAACCGCATCGTTCAATATTTGATTTGTTACAGCTATAAGTACATGCGATACTTAAAGCAACCCCTCTGTGATGCAGTTGACCAAGCGGATTTTTTTAAATTTATTATTCATACTTTCGGCTTTCGTGACTCTCTTGGAGAAAGCAAGTATAGCCTTCGTTTATATTCGTGTTTGTACAAATAATATAGTTACGAAAACTGTACAACACAATTGTCTCTCGTGAATCCTACTAATATCCTGAATGTTATACTTACAGACGTTTAAATATTTTATTCCATGATAAATAAAAAATATATAAATAGCATGAAACTATCGCCCTCACTGAGGGTCAGATTCATATTGTTTTTAGATAGATTCATGTTGTTTTTAGATAGGTTTAATGTAAGAAAGAAGAAAGAAAGGAAAATTCTATGAAGGAAAATCGTAATGGAGTATAGTAAGAATTTGTGATATTTATATTATTTTATCATTTTCTCATAATAGCCGTTATGTATTAAATAATATCGAAATGGTTTATACGTATTCTCGGTGATTGCCAATGTGCACTGAGAAAAAAATATGTTCAACTAACTAAACATATTTAAGTTCTTTGCAGATTTGGTTAATTCAACAAATTTTATTTAGTTGAATTTAACTCTAGTCTGCTTAACATTGAACAATTTGTTAATGTAAAATGGAAAATTTTTTAAATAAGTAAACTATGTGTTTAACATTTTATATTAATACATACCAGAATAAAGTATAAAATATCTCGTAAACTATTGGTTTTTTTATATCACTACCTTAATACTTTTATATTCAGAATAATTAGAGGAATCATATTGTGTTAAAAAATCATACAATTCCGTTTAAAAAAGTGGAGGTGACCTTGAAGTTTCAAAAAATATGATCTTGAGAAAAATTTTTTGCTCATCATAATATGTGCCCCTTCGAATCGAACAACTTTCACTTTTGGTATTTTCACGTATCATTAAAAATAATGGAAATATTTTAGATGATTTTAGAGGAAACGCTCCGCATATACATATCTATAACGTATATACATATATTATACATATATATATATATATATATATATACATACATAAAGTATATAGAAAACTATACAAATTTTACTTGAAACATCTTTTCATATATTTTACTGTTTCGACGATAATTACTTACGCACATGAGCATGGATAGAGTATATAAGGAAGCGTTTATAATTAATTCTCAAAAATGATCATATGGTATAATATAACTTTATTATACATGGTTCAATTTAAAAAAAAATAATCTTCGATTTGATAAAAAAAATTTTTTTAATTTGAGAGAACTATGGGTGATGAGGGTATAATGTTAAACAAACAAAATTTTTTTCTTCACAACTTTAAGGTACTCTTGAAACCGTAAAACTTTTGTTTAAAAATTTTTTTTCCATCTTTTATACTTTTGATGATATTCGGCACAGAAGAGAAATACTGCTTTTTTTCGAAGGAGTGTTTCACCCCTTAAATATGAATTAGCGTACATATGAAAAAAATACGTATTTCTTAGATTTTTGTGTTTAACAACATATTTCATGAAGAATCAAATCGGTGCCGGACAGTGAAACGTCCATTGTTAAACTTAAAGTTGAAAAACTTAAAAATTTCAGATACAATGAAAATATATTTTTTTTAATTATTTTAAAGTCAGCCTTGAAATAATTTAAAGCTCTAATGTTATTTTAGATTAACCTTTTATACTTATTTACCTCAAAAGTTTTTAAGGAGGTTGTAAAAGAGCATAAAACACATATATTAATATTTTCGCTTTAAACAAACTACATACATGTGAAAGTTGTGTTCATAACATTCTGGTTTTATTGAGCAACACATT